TATGTTATGTGTGATGGATGAATTTATGTATGTTTGTTGTCGATATACTTCCGTAACGCTTTTTTATAAAGTATCATACAAATGATTGCATTTTCGACTTTTGAAGAGATAAAGAAATTGCTGTTGGTGAAGCTCTTCCTAAGTGGTTTCCAGTAGTCTTCCCATATACTGATAAGATAATTCAAGTAATGCTAAACTGCAAAGATGTTTAATTCTTTTGATAAATTTAGTAGTAGTGAGTCTGAAATGATTTCAAATGAAACGAGAGTTGAGTGAGAAATTAAGTGAATGACTTCAGTTACTGGGAAATCGAAGTGGATAAGTGAAAAAGTAAATGAAATTATTGAATTTGAAAGCATTTTGCATTGTTTTCGGGATATTCTTGGACATGGTCAGGAATATCCCAAAAACAGTGCAAAAAAATTGCTGATATATTTTTAATTATATGATGTAATGAAAATTTCTTAAGAATTGACGGAATTATTTGTGAAAAAGTGAAATATTTGAGATTTTAGTGGTTGATATTAGTCTTCCCTTTTTCTTGTTATTAGTCTACATTTCAGATCTTTACTGCTTGTATAATTCATTTACTAGCAATTTTTTGTGATAAAATTTAAAAAAAAAATGAAAGAAGCTTTAATGTTGATAAACTTTGGTAATGAAATAAAAAACTATGGTATAATTAATAGTAGTCTTTTATGATTAAAATCGAACAGACCGCAGAGTGCATTCTATTTTTGGTCTCTGAAATAGAATTTGCTGATTTATTGGGATTTTTTTTCCGGGTTGAAAATAATTGAGAATTTGTGACAGAGAAATATCAAACTGACTACTTTTAGAAAATATAAAAAAATCAGTGTTTCAATGTATAGAGATGTAATATATTTGAAGCATTCATTTGCAGTAATTTATTATGTTTGTATTTTGTTAGTTATTTGATACATAACAACTACGAAAAAAAATGGCTGATAAAGAAATCGATCATAAAATTGTTAGTTTTCAAATTGAATAATTACTTTATTAGGAAAAATTAAGCGAAATGTCCGCCAAAAATTGTGATAAAAATCTCACATTGGTCAATTTTTGTCCTCTTCACATAAATGAAATAAGTAAGAGGACAAAACTTTTGGAAGCAGCAATTTTTTTCTAATCTTCTTCATATAAATGAAATATGTAACATTTTGGAAGCAGCAATTTTTTTCTAATGATCATTAGCCTGAAATCATGAGCTTGACATAGTTTAGATTTTGATTGTTCTTCAATAACAGTGTCATATGCAGTCAATATTGTGATACAACTGAATATTTGACTTCCGGCAGTAAGCGAAAACAATCATTAAACATTTGTTTTTCATCTAATTCAATTTTGACTGAATTGAATTAGATGAAAAATAAATGTTTAATGGTTCAGCGTGTATGAGATTTATTGAAGTCTCATAGCTCGGCTAAGGCAGCATTAGCACTGCTCTGCAGGCTATCCCATCCCTGTTACTCGTCTATTGCATCCAATGAGTGGAATTTTTGTTTAGTCTCCTTTACTTTATGCTTTTAGTTTTGAATTGGCAGAATGTATCGAATTGCTTCCACAGATTTTTCAGCTGTAATCGAACTGTAATTTTATTGGAATTCTGAATAGAGTTGTATTTTATTAGACTTCATAAAATTCTATGTCCTGGAAATAAGTCTTTAATTTATGATTTAAAAAAATATTTTTTTATGTGTGTGTGTGTATGTGTGTGTGTATATATGTGTGTATTTTTTTAGCTCAACGAATATGAAGTTTATTGTGGTTTACATAATAAATATAAAGTTTACATAATTCCTTTTACTGTACAGCAAGGATTGAGTGGCATTTTAATTCCTGAACTTTCAATTTTAATTTAAATTTCAAAGTTTATAGCGAATGGTATTGATCAGTAGAAAAGTTCATGATTCAAATATCCCTAATTATTTTAAAGTCCAAGAATTACTTTGTAAGAATGAAGTGAAGAGGGGAAATTCGTATTTTCGAGATTTGAACTTCTGCTGTGAGTGGTAGGAAAATTAATGATGTGTTACAGATTTAGAATTTCTGAACTGATTGATATATCCAAATTCTCCATTTTACGGTTATTTTCGGTGGTTTTGAAATTCGGTTTCTTGTTCCAAATTAGCAAATTAAGAATTTGCGCTAATTGAATTTTTGAACTGCAGAAATTGTTTGCCGAACTTTGTTCCACAATTTTAGTTTTGAATTTAGATATATAATGAAACGTTTATGACATATTTGAGCTTTTAATTTTGAACAATTTGAAAATTCATTGCATTGTTGAAAACAATATGGCAAAATTATTTATCCCTGTCATGAAAAATATTAATTCATTTTTCTTCGTTTTATTTAGAAGTTTCCGTTAAATTTAGTCATAGCTTTAAAGGAGGGCATTGAAGACATTTCCGCAGCCAAAAGATGATATCTGTCGATAGTTCAAATGTTTTTTTTTTTCGTTTCGAAGCACTCTCAATTGGAAAGACGTTCGCTGATGTATGTGTGCACTTCATTCCTTCATCCACTTCGTGCATTCAATTTTCTCTCCATCTCTCCCTCTTCTCTTTGTCAATCACCTGCTCATTTCCTGAAAAAGACGAAATTTTAGGTGTCGAGGCCATTTTTACATTTCATTTTTTCAATAAAAAAATTTTCGAATTTTTTTAAAGGATCAGCATTGGTACTTTTGTGCGCAAAAATCGGTCTTTCGCTACTGTCTATTTTGAATTCATATTCAAATAAATTCATTATTTTAACTTCATAATTCCGTTGTCATTATACTATTTTTGCTTTCAGAATTACGAACAAGAGGCACAAGGAATATTGAGTGACGATCCAAGACTTCTGAAAATTGTTGTGGCAATTAGGGAAGCCCAAAAAATTGTACAAATAAAAATGGATTTCTTCACTGGCCTGCAGCATTTCTATGAAGCATTAAATACTATCAAACAAGAAAATGAACAATGGAATTCGATTACATCACAACAGGTTTCCTTGAGATTTTGTAAAATTTTTGATTTTTTCAACAAATTTTTATAGATTGGTTTTTCTTTATGATGTAGAAAGAGCAAAAATTTATTCAATCTGTGTATCAATTATATGCTCTGTTCGCTCTTAAAAATTTTTTAATTTTATGAGAAATTAAAAATAACTGTATTATGGAATTTTTCTTTGAAATGCTTTTTTCTTTTCTAAATTTTTATCAAATATGCGTGGACATTATCAATCACTACTTTCTGATAAAATACAAAACATATCAAGATCTTACTTTTTCTTTCACTTTTCGTTTCATACAATTATGTATGCTTCATCCATCAGAAAACTGATCAATAAAGGTCTTCAATAGATTCCTATACATTTTACATGCAGGTCACAATAATCGATTTTTACATGAAAACCAAGCAGTAAAGTTGATTTTGAGCACTGTTTGATTTTTGAAGTTTCCATGAGACTTTATGAATGAAACTTTTAAAGTGGTTGCAAAAAGGTTCATTCCACATTTTAAATTACAGTAACCATGTTTATTATTATGGTTACCTACTCGTTTCCAGTATTTTCAAAAAAATAAAGGAAGTAATTAAGAACAAACTATTTCAAAAAAAAAAGCAATAACGAGAAAATTATCAAAAAATTAAAGAATCAAAAATTTCAGGTTGAAAGAGTATCTGTAAGACTTGAAGAGCTTTTAAAACTTGTTGAAAATGAATATGCACCTCAGGCGAATGCTTTATGCTCGCAGTTTGAATCTATGCGATCATCTTTTTTTCAGTTAGAATGTGATCGAATTAAGGAAAAGTTAGATTTTTCAAAAATTTTTTATGGTCACTAGATGAATTTTTGAATTTAATGATGTTTATTTTGCAATGAAAATTATGTTTGCCAATAAATTTATTGCTTCTGTTAACAGATTGCGGATTCTTATACTACAACTGGATAGGCTGGTGGATTTCATGGCGAAGCGAAAGATTCTTCTACTCAAATTTAAAGAATTCCAAAAATTTGTTAAAGATGCTGATGATACGTTACTCAGAACAGTGCATGATGCTTCGACCGGTGTAGAAGTCAATATGCATCGAATTGTATTCCATTATTAATTGTTTTATTTGAATTTTATTGTTTTACTACTCATGTAGATATATCTATAAAATAGTTTTTTTTTTTTTCAAAAAACACTTCATATGTATTAAAAAATTGCTTTTACAGGCGAACGAAATGAGTGCAGTTTTTGATAAATTGGATAATTTGGGAAGAGAGCTTACAGCTTGTCAACTTGATGCCAATATGACGATCTCCGATATGTCTGTTGTTGACACCTTAAATAGAATTAGAGAAATTTCCTTGGATGTCGGTTCTGTAGTAAGAGTTTCTTTGCATTTTTTTTTCCTATCTGAATAAAGCTACTTATAATTATGGCCATTTATCTGTTCATCTGACCAACGGTTTGTTCTACTCTTGCAATTATCACTACAGAAAAATTTAAATGTAGAGAACTGGAATAAGAAATCAACGAAATGTCAAAATATTCAGTATTCATCCGCTTATTAAAATATTCATGCGCTTATTAAATTTAGGACGAACCAGTCGGGCTTTCAAAGCGTTTCCAAGAATTTTTCAATGTGTCGAATCAACTGGAAGGTGCATTCTGTACGGATATTCGTACCTGTGAACACCTGGATGACGTCGTTGAGTTCATCACTGTTTCATTGGTATTTTTTCCATTTGATTTCAACTGATACAGACAGTGATTGTGTAGCTTTATAAAGTTTATTGCCATCATATAGTGTTTTCTGAATCTCTATTTATTATGAATTAGTATATTGGAGGAAACTAAAAAGTCGATGTTTTGATTGATTTCAAAGAATTTGTTTTTTGCTCTTTCGAAAGGGAATTTATTGAACGCTAAATGCAGTTTAATAAAATGAAGTATAGGAGAATGGCAAGAAAGAAGCTGAGTTGATGGTCCAGCTTGTTGCAATTGCTGACGATCTTACTGCTCATGAAAAAGCTAAAGCAAATGATGTAAGTGGAAGTAACTGCTAAGATTTTAAAGTTTTGTTTGAGCTGCAATAGATATTCGTTGCGGCACATGAAAGTTTGTAAATTATCACGAATAGAATTGATGTAGCAGTGAAAGATGTGTGCGATAAATTGATAAGAATTGCTATTGATAAAAAAGTTATGATTTAACTTATCTTCTTCTCGATAGTATATAGTTCATTATCAATAGCACTTTTTATGCTGCTTATAAGCAGTTAAGTATCTGAGAATTCTTACAAACAAAATGTTCTCTCTGAATTGACTATTCATCCAATTTTAGAACATTTCAGCATTCTTGTTCATTTTTTAGGACGAGATGAGTGATGATAGTAATAATATCGTTATTAAGAAGCAAATAAAGACTGAATGAATTAGCAAAGAAGTAAGGAAATGAATAAATGAAATTAAGTAAGTAAAAAAAGTAAACAATAGGAGGCAAAAATTAGAAAGTGAGGATTTTAAATTAATGAAGTATTTTACTTTAAGATTCTTTCGGAGCTGAAACGAATAATGGACAAGCGACAAGAATTGCGACGGGTAACAGTAGAAGATTGTGTAGAACGATCTTTAGCTATTCTAACACAAAAAGAAGTCCAATTGGAAACAATTATTGAGCGTGATATTAATGACCAAAATTTGGGTGCTTTTGAGGCTGATGAAGTTACAAAGTGGAACCCCTGGAAAGAGGAACTTAATCAGGTTAGTCCTTTATTCGTTCTATCATGGTTTTTTAGATATCAATCGATTTCTCGCAGTCTTAGGCCATGTAATTTTTTCAAGGAGGGGCGTGAATTGTAAAATAGGTTCTAAAAATCAATCGGTATTATAGATCGTTTCCAAAACTTTTTCTGTTGGTTCAGTGACACTTTATTATTACATTCTCTAATATTTCTTACCCACTTCGAGAACATATTATAATTCAATTCCTCTTTCTTCATTTCAAAATTGCTTAGGCTTAAATACAAAAATAGTTCAAATTAATGAATTCGTGTGTTGCACAGGATTTAAAGTTCGTATTTAAAAGAAGAAATCTTTTTAGCTTCAGTAAATAAATTTTAGCTTCTGTAATTTACGGAAATCGGACTTATTTATTAAAGCTTCTGACGCTCAGAAGATCTTTTTTTTAATCAAAGATTAATGCTTCTAATGACTTCATTGCTTAATTTGAGTCGTAGATTGTGCTGGTACGATTTTGCCACCTCTTTTGAATTCATCTGTTTATCACTGCTTTTATTCCCGCCTTACAGTATCACTTCAAAGCTGCTAAATACCTTCAGACTTTTTTTTTTCTATCTCCAGACGAGATAAGGCTTCCTTCTTCATATTATATAAATTAAATTTTTAGTTAACAGTGCTGTTTAAAAACAATAATATCCAAGGACGAGATTCACTTGATGCACTTGTCGAAAAGGCAGCTAATTTCGATGTACGAATTACACGTTTCAAAAACACATTTGCCATGCCTAAACATCGTGAAGAGCGAATATCTGCAAAATTGGCTGCATTTGCTAAATGGATTGATTTCATGGAAGAAGACTTTATTCGAGCAGAATCTTTAGATGATGCAGTCGAGAAAGCAGAAAGGTTCGTTTTGTAGTGGTCTTCTGGGATTTTTGCACAGAAATGTGGTTATTTTGCAAGATATATTTTTGTGTGTTTGTTTGAGATATAGGTATATAAAATATTTTTCCTTAAGTTTTTGAGTTTTAGGACAATTATGCTTGGACGCTTTCATTATTTTTGAAAAAATAAAATGTTTTGAATGCCTAACTTCTTATAACGAATCCATATATGCCTGCATCCGTCATGTAATTAAATTATTTCGTATTCATTTGATAGTATCAATTAAAAAAATATTCTGAGTTGCAGGCTTCGCAGTATTCATCATATTTGTTTATCACAACAGAAATTGGTTGACAAATGGTTGAGTTGCAAACTTAATCCACAACATTCAAGTGAAGTTAAATCTCACTGTGATCGGTATTTCACGTTGCTGCAGCGAAGTGATTTGGGAGATTTACCTGAAGGAAAAGCAATTTCAACGCACCTCGCAGATTTACCTTCATCATCAATTCTTCAGGTATATTTTAAATCAAAAATATTTAATGCAGGGTTTAGATCATTGATAAATAATTTTTAACTGTAGAGAAAAATTTATTCCAAATGAACACATTTTTATACATTTTCAAGTCCACTTGTCAACCACGTGGCACTCTTGCTATTTTTAGAAGTTAATTTACACACCAAACAGTTTACTGAATTAGAAACGTTCAAAATAATGCGATAACAAGCTCGGCTCATAAAATCTTGATAACAAGCGAAAATACGATAAATGAAAGAGAACAAGAAGCGAACTTTCGGATTTCAGCAGTTGAAATTTCTGAAATACATGACTTAGGTTATGAATAAGGGAAAAAATAATTCCTACATTTTTGCTGGGTATTGGGAATGTTATGGTCATCAAAATATATAATCACGGAGAAAAAACTGCTGGAAATTCTTCAGAGAATTCAAATCATTTAATTTTTACAGCTTTCTCTTAATTCACCATCTACTTCCGAAAACGATGAAGATGAGAGTCACTGTTCTGAAATGATATCGTACGAAGAAACTGGTTCTGCTTATCTTTTGGTAATTTCTCGCTCTTTTCATGTTTCAGATTTTTTGAAATTCTACACCCAAATTTCTACTTCTAGCTTTCCTAATCATCGGCTGCTTCTGAATTCCACCGTATTTCTGATTTTCTGCGATATCAGCAGTCTCTGAATCATCATACAAGTAACCCTCATTCTAACTATCTGATCATGAAAGTATATATGAATTAGTTTCTTTTAATTTTCTAATTGCACAAACTTTCTGTATTCTGGAAACTTTTGTATTCTGTAATGCTCAGCATGAAACATCATCTTGGTGTATAGAAGAAGCAGTTGTTGAATAAGGTTGTAGCATACTGTAAAAGGAATACTAGAAGTTGAAGAAAATGCAGACAAGAAATAAAGGAATTGGAGATAGTGCTATTCGCCAGATAAAAATTAGTGATCTAGACAGTAACATTCTAATCAATAGTTATAAGATTTAAATTTTAAATTTCAGTTACACACAGTAAGTTTTTTTCGGGATGCAAATAGAAAAATATAACTTGCTGAATAGGCTTATAAAACGTGAGAGAAATTGGATAAGGAATAATTGCTACCATCCTTTTGTTATGATAGTAGAAAGTTTTATTTAATAAAGCTTCGTCTTTTATTAAATTTCTTGGGCTTATGTTATGAAATTTTTTGGGACTACATTATCGATTTTAGATGCAACGGGTATTACAAGCAAAAGAAACCTCTGAAATACGACTGTTATTATCGGAGATTGATTCGGAATTGAATGTATTGGCGGATTCGCTGAGTAAGCTAAATGTTGATTACGCTCAATCACTGAAACCATTAAGTAAAGCTCAAGCCGACGTAGAAAAACTCAAGGTAGTTCACCCTTACTTTTTTGCTTATTTCGTATTTGCCCGTAAAAGGTTTTTTAAAAATTATGATCATGCAATTAAACTATCTGAAAGTGAAAGGTCTAAAATGAACAATAATACAGATACTAATGTACCAGGAATTTTACTGGGTATTCCTGGTGATTTTTGCGCTTAAGAATAATGCTATATTGTAGGTAAACGAATTCGCTATCCGGGTTCATGTGAAGAAAAAAAAAGTTCATGTGAAGAAAAAAAAACAATTTTGCATGGAATTCATTTTAGATTTATATCTGTTGATTGCTTATGATGAAAATTAAAAATCTGTTCGAAGTTCAACAGACTAATTCATCCCTCTTAAAGGAACTCAATGAGAGAAGGTGTCAACTGGACATTGCTTGTGATAATTTTCCACATAACGTTTCCGATGATGATTTAGCTGTCATTCGCTCATTAGCGCTACATCTACATTCACTGGAAGAACCGTTTACGGTTTGTATTTTCTTATCTGTAATAAATTTTAAAACAGCGAGAATCATTTCACTTATAACGAATCATATTAATTGTAAGCAGAGAAGCTTATGGCATTTTAAATTTAATGATGTATATCAAAATAATGTACTATAATCATTTCATAGACATTTCTACAAGAACTGCAAAAAGAAATCGACGATGAGATAACATTACAATTAAATTATGAGGGTATCGCCAAAAAACTCAGTCAGTTAAATATCGATATTGACCAGCGCGCCCGAAATGCAATTCAAGATGTATGTTTATTTACCTAGCGAGAATTGTTTTTATGATGTACAAAGAATGGAAATGTTTGAACTTTGTTCCTGAATGATAGTATACTAACATTTCCCACTTCAGACTGTTCATCCATAGAGATTTCTAAGACAAACAAGTGGTACTAAATAAAATATGAATAGATTGGTTACAGTAGTTCATTTTAATTTGAAAATTGTAATTTACCCAAAGAAATCCAAATGGTTGATATATGCAAATCAGGTCCGAAATCAATTGGAACAAGTGCAATCGGACTTGAATTTACTTCGGCTGCAATGTTCACAACAGCGGAAGTATGTAGAGAACACGTTGGAAAACGTTTCACCCGATGCAAATCGTAATAAATGCTCAAGGCGAAAGAAAATTATGCTTATGGTATCCAGAACTGTTACAACCATAATTCAGGTTGAAAAATTCAAATTAATACAATATTATGTTTCAATGACAAGATAAAATTTAGCGTAGGGCATTTCACTTATTAACAAGAGCACACGAGAAGGTTTACAGAAACTGTTATACAATATTACAAATTCATAACACTACACACTGAGGAGAAATTGAAATCCAAAATATTTACAGGTCGTTGAGGATGAATTACAATGTTCGTCCAACGTTAAAGAAAATGATCTCTTAGAACTGAAGCAAAAACTGCAAGACGTGAACACTATCATTGTTGACGAAACCGGTGCTGTGGACGATGTACTTCTGAGCAGTATTACAGATGCACAGGTTCAATCCAAGATCCATATATAAATAAACCTGAAATGTTTATTGGTGAATTTGTTCATTATCGAACAAGAACATATTTGCAGGAAACGATAAAGTCTGATCACGAAAAAGAACAAATGAAAGTGATGCAATCGGAGCTTACAGAATTGGAAGAAAAATTATCTTTGGGCAATCAATTGCTAGCATATGATATCGATCTAAAAAGTGCCGATAGTCCGGAAGATATTGGAGAAAAGGCGAAAAATATTGAGAATTTAGAGCAGTTCATGGTTTCACTAATTGATAAGTTGAAAGCTTGTGATAGCAGTAATATGACCGAGGAACAACGAATTGATATGGAAAGAAAATTAGATGAAGCGATGTCGCTTATTAATAAGCTACATGCTTTACGGGAATCTATTTCAAGTCATTTAAAATCACTTGCTGATTGGAAAACTGCTGAAGGCGAATTAGAAGATGAAATACGGGTAATTATGGACAATATTGAAGGACTACGTGATAGCTATTCGCAACCGCAACCGTACCCAACAGCAATCAATGATGTAAACATATTGCAACGATTACAGGATCAGATCATGAAATTATTGCAAAAAACGATAGATAAAGAACAAACTTTATCACAAAATTTGCCTAACTATCATCCTGCAATCAATGCAATCAAGCAACAAATTGAAAAAGCTACTGAAGATGTTAAGGTATTTTATATATTTTCATATAATTTCTTTTTTTTTTCTTTCTAAATTGCTTGATTTAAAAGAAAAAAAAATTACATTTTTGATTGTTATTTATTTCTTTTTTTTTTGTAAATTTATAATTAATGTGAAACATTTCAGAAATTATTGCCATCACTTATTGAAGATGTTTCAACAGAAAAGCAACTTGTTGACATACAAAACGATTTAATCAATCAATTGAATGGATTGAATGATCGCGCCATAGTGATTCGTAATGAACCACATGATGAAACACAAATTCCACGATTAGAAGAATTGAAAAATGAGCTTGAAGAAGTAGGTGATATGCTGAAAGAATTGAAGGAAAAGGAAAACAAACCAATGAAACTGGTGCTACATTCAGATGATCTAAAGATAACATCTGTAGTTGATCAATATGAAAAAGTTAATCGACTTCTGAATGAAACCAAAGAGCAATTGGCGAATCAAGTTGCTTCAACGGAATTGCAATCGACAGTTAGTAATGAAGCTCAAGAGCTGCATTATATTGTCGATGAAGCATATAAAGTTGAAAATGATGTCAACGCAACAGCAAGCGATTTGCGGAAGGCAATTGATGATCTCAAAAATGGTCGATCACATTTGACAGCATTAAAAAATGCATACGATCAACTAGAAAACGTACCGGATATGAATTTATTCTATGAAAATGTATTTGATGAGATTTCGACACTAAATGAACAATATGACAATGTTGAAAGGAATTTGGAAGATCGACTTGATATGCTGAATGAATTTGATGTAATAGCGGATAGTGTAAATAAGCGATTGATGGATCTTGAAGATAATGTACATAAATTAGAAGTTCCAAGTGCCAGCTGTGAATTATCCGTTGCCGATAAAGGACTTAGTGATGTTAATGAATTACAAGAATCATTGAAAAAATTACACGAATTGAAGGAACAATTAACACCATTATTGAAACCTGCTTCTACAGTTGAAAATTTCGATAATCGTTTAGCAGATGTGAGCAAAAATTTCCAACAATGGCACGACGAGAGTGTGAAAAAGAAGCAAGAATTGGAGGCTGAAAATAATCTGTTAAGTTTGATCAACGATTTTGAGCAAACTCTTGTTAATGCGGAAAATGATTTCGAAAAACTTGAAGGAACAATGAATGCATTGAAGAGTTTCAAAGATATGATTTTGCCAATAGTAGTTGAAAAATCTGATCGTATCAGAGATCTAATATTACCGGTAAAAACGGAAAACATTAAGCAGCTTTATCATAATGTCGATATGCTAAATGATCGATTTAATGATTTGTCAACACGTGTGAATGATAAATTGAATGATGCAGAAAGACAAGAGAATCTATTTGATGACATTCAACGAGAGCTTAATAATATGGAACAAAAAACTGATGATTTTATCAAGAAATATACCACATCACAAGATTTATTAATTGCCATGGAAGATGTCGATCAGCTGTATTCTCTTCAGGATCAAATTCCATCATTATCAGCAATGGAAAATATTACAGAAGATGGACTTAAAGATAATTTAATAAAGAAAGCAGATACTATGAAGAACAAAATCGAAAATTTGCTTGTTCCGCTTAAAAAAGATATACAAAAAGAGCAAGAGTTGATGCGCGATTTGCATGAAACATTGTCTACATTAACTGCAATTGGTGATGATGTTATTGCAGTTGATCCCAATACTGAATCATTACAACAGCTAGAAAGCATTCATCAATTAGCGGAAAATTTGCGACAATTAAAAGGAAAAATTGAAAAGTTGGAAGAAAAGTTACAAAGTTCGGAAGGGATGGTTAAACATGCATTAGTAACTGATGATCTATTTGGTCGTGTTGTACAGTTACAAGATGCACTTGATGATAAGAAAGAAAAATTGACAGAACGTGCTAAATTATGTGCTATAACTCCGGAGATAAATTTGATCAACGAAAGTGTGCAAAATTACATTAATGAAATGGAACAAATACCAATGCAAACAATTGAGGAGCAAAATGTTGCATTAAGTGAGCTAGAGGGAAAGAAATATGAACTTGAAAATCTGCTCAAAAATATTCCTCAAGGTGATGAAGGCAGTGAATTACGAGAAAAGTGTAATTGGTTACTGGGACAACTCAATGATGTTCTAAAACGATTAGCTGATGCAGTTG